ACTGGAAAAGAAGAAAAACTGAAAATCAATGATTTCAAGAATAGTAAGTCCAACCTAAAAACTGCATCAGGAAGGAAAAAATATGAGTAGAAATTAACAAAATATTAGTTTGAGTCTTAAGAAATTGCTGATATTCAACCATTTTGATCTATTAAAAATGGTAGTTTCGTTTGGTTTAATAGGAAACAAATAATAAACAAAGCCAAAAAGCCATTAATCTTTGAAAAGATTAATAGAATTAATAAACTCATGGCAAGGCTAATCAGGAAAAGAGGAAAATAACAACTACCAATATTAAGACTGGAAAAGGGAGCATGACTAAAAATCTTACAGACATTAAAAAGACAGTAAAGTTATACTAAGAACAACTTTATGCCAGTAAAATTGAAAATAGCTGAAATGCAGTAATTCTTCAAAACATATGTTACGAAATTGACAGAAGAAGAAATAGAAAATCTGAGTAGTTCAAAATCTACTAAAAATGTCAGTCTATTATTAAAAATTGTCCCACGAAGAAAACAAAGGCTTCATAAACTTGTGGCAAGAGGACCCATCTGTGGTCACTTTCATTTCAGCAGGGGTTCAAAGGTGGCAGAAAGGAGGGTCAGTTTCATAGAGGAAGCACTAAGACAGTCTTTGATTGACAAGTGTTCTGTTATGATGGAATTTTTGGACACAGAGACTTTCTAACTGGTCTTCAGGTACTTTTGACTGGGGTTGGTGGATTTCAAGGGGTCTGGCTGCCTACTGCCTCCACCGTCAGTGGCCTACAAAGCCCACCATACCCTGGCCCCAGCTTCCCCCATTCTTCACTCTGTCTTCTGGAAACATCAGCTTCCTTTTGTGTCCTCCACAGTGCCATGGTCTCTCTTTCCTCCATCTATGAGATGCTTACACTCCAGTGGGAGAAAAAGACACTATTAGATAATTCCAGAAATGAACAGAAAATTACAAACTGAATTAAACTATGAAAGAAAGGAACATAAGAAGAGAAATCGGTTAGATTGGAAGGTTAGGACAGAATTTTTGATAAGGTTGGAGATCTGAATAATTTATAGGCAGACAGTGGAGGGAAGAGGAGAGGAGGAGGAGTCTAGACAGCTGGAACAGTATGTGCAAAGGCCCTGAGGCAGGAGAGAGTATAATCAGTACCAGGAAATGAAAGAAAGAACATAGAAAACTAGAGCAAGGGTCTTGCAGAACATGACGAGGATTTTGGTCTTAATACTTAAATAAGAGTATACTTGATAGAGGAATACTTACTACTTAAAGTAGAAGATATTTTAAGCAGGATCACATGATGATATTTCATTAGAAAAGTAAGCTTTAGTCTGCAGGATAGATTCGGGGGGAGTTTAGGTGTCAGGAGACATTTCAAGGCAACCGCAATAGTCCGGGTGCAAAAAAATGGGCTGGGCCGGTGGCCGTGGAGATGGAGAGAGCTGGATACATTCTAGAAAAATGCAGGAGGTGACATTGACAGACTTGGTGATGTGTTCAATATAGGTGAGGCAAGGAAAGTGGGGTGCCAAGGAGAACTCCAGGATTTTGTCCATCCCAGGTAGATGGCAGTACCTTTCCTGAGGGGGGACTCTGGTAGACCATCACGTTGGGGGTGCCATGGAAGAGATGAATCGGTTGGTTTGGGGCAGGTTAAATTGAGATGTTGCTGAGACATTAAGTGGAGGAGTCAAGTAAATAGGGTATGATGAAGCTCTATGGTTCAGAAGCGAGATCGAGCCATACGAACAGTGAATTGCCATTCAGACCTAAGTCACGGACTTGCTCATTTCTTTTTAAGTTTGAGGAGTTTGTTACTTGACTTTCGTTTTTATTTTCCCCTCCCTTTCCTTTTCTTTGGAGAACTTTTTATTTTTCTNTGCAGTAATTCTTCAAAACATATGTTACGAAATTGACAGAAGAAGAAATAGAAAATCTGAGTAGTTCAAAATCTACTAAAAATGTCAGTCTATTATTAAAAATTGTCCCACGAAGAAAACAAAGGCTTCATAAACTTGTGGCAAGAGGACCCATCTGTGGTCACTTTCATTTCAGCAGGGGTTCAAAGGTGGCAGAAAGGAGGGTCAGTTTCATAGAGGAAGCACTAAGACAGTCTTTGATTGACAAGTGTTCTGTTATGATGGAATTTTTGGACACAGAGACTTTCTAACTGGTCTTCAGGTACTTTTGACTGGGGTTGGTGGATTTCAAGGGGTCTGGCTGCCTACTGCCTCCACCGTCAGTGGCCTACAAAGCCCACCATACCCTGGCCCCAGCTTCCCCCATTCTTCACTCTGTCTTCTGGAAACATCAGCTTCCTTTTGTGTCCTCCACAGTGCCATGGTCTCTCTTTCCTCCATCTATGAGATGCTTACACTCCAGTGGGAGAAAAAGACACTATTAGATAATTCCAGAAATGAACAGAAAATTACAAACTGAATTAAACTATGAAAGAAAGGAACATAAGAAGAGAAATCGGTTAGATTGGAAGGTTAGGACAGAATTTTTGATAAGGTTGGAGATCTGAATAATTTATAGGCAGACAGTGGAGGGAAGAGGAGAGGAGGAGGAGTCTAGACAGCTGGAACAGTATGTGCAAAGGCCCTGAGGCAGGAGAGAGTATAATCAGTACCAGGAAATGAAAGAAAGAACATAGAAAACTAGAGCAAGGGTCTTGCAGAACATGACGAGGATTTTGGTCTTAATACTTAAATAAGAGTATACTTGATAGAGGAATACTTACTACTTAAAGTAGAAGATATTTTAAGCAGGATCACATGATGATATTTCATTAGAAAAGTAAGCTTTAGTCTGCAGGATAGATTCGGGGGGAGTTTAGGTGTCAGGAGACATTTCAAGGCAACCGCAATAGTCCGGGTGCAAAAAAATGGGCTGGGCCGGTGGCCGTGGAGATGGAGAGAGCTGGATACATTCTAGAAAAATGCAGGAGATGACATTGACAGACTTGGTGATGTGTTCAATATAGGTGAGGCAAGGAAAGTGGGGTGCCAAGGAGAACTCCAGGATTTTGTCCATCCCAGGTAGATGGCAGTACCTTTCCTGAGGGGGGACTCTGGTAGACCATCACGTTGGGGGTGCCATGGAAGAGATGAATCGGTTGGTTTGGGGCAGGTTAAATTGAGATGTTGCTGAGACATTAAGTGGAGGAGTCAAGTAAATGGACTCTGGTAGACCATCACGTTGGGGGTGCCATGGAAGAGATGAATCGGTTGGTTTGGGGCGGGTTAAATTGAGATGTTGCTGAGACATTAAGTGCAGGAGTCAAGTAAACAGGGTATGATGAAGCTCTATGGTTCAGAAGCGAGATCGAGCCATACGAACAGTGAATTGCCATTCAGACCTAAGTCACGGACTTGCTCATTTCTTTTTAAGTTTGAGGAGTTTGTTACTTGACTTTCGTTTTTATTTTCCCCTCCCTTTCCTTTTCTTTGGAGAACTTTTTATTTTTCTCTCTACCCCCCTTTTATTGCTCGTGTACTTCTTTTGATGGAGGGGTTTCCTAATCGTATCACTTCTGTCTGGGTAGGATACAGCCCTCTCCTCCATAGCCCGCCTGGCCAGATCACTGTTGAGTATCACCAGCTGAAAAACAGCCCAGGGAACTGCAGTTACAAGTCATTTGGAAATTATTTGAATGTGGGATGCAGGTTGCTATTTTGGGAGAGGATAATTTTCCAGTGCACAGGACATGAGCTGTCGCTGAGGTGCTTTTGAAAAGGCATGCTTAATAGTGCATCTAAATCGGCAGTCCTGGGCTCAAGCTGGCAACTCTCAGAGGAGGAACGTGGTGTTTGGTAGATTCTAGCTTCCAGCAGGTATTCAGACAAAGCTTGGGGAGGAGCGAGGAGAAGAGAAGGTGTGCGGTGGAGGCTTGTTCCCAAGCATGCATGAAACCACCTGTTTTTGTGATGAGTCGGTCAGATGAACCACAATGAAGAGAACCAGCTGCTCTTTCTAAATACACTTTACTAGACATTATTGATTCAGACAATAAACTCAAAACCTTACTGGGATAGATCTGGATCCTGTGGCCAAGCAGATTTCACAGTAGGAGAAGGATTCCAAATACTTTAATGGGCAGAATTTTCTCGAAGATTGGTCAATTGGTGTTTCGTTCCAATATCTTAAAAATTAAAAGGGAGGAGAGAATATACTCAGGAAGACTTTTCTATATTGCTTAACAATTAATATAATAAAAAACCGAAAGAAAGAAAAAGAAAGCAGAAAGAAAAGAATGTGTTTTTCTACATGAAGTATTTTTTTTTTTTTTCTGCCAAGCCTATCAGATTGATCTTCACGCTGGGAAGTCAAATTATGGCTGTTTTACCCCCAGTGATTTCTGTGCAGTGGGACGTGAGGTCAGGTGTCTGGCTTCAGGTCTAATAACCATCACTGGAATCTTGCTGGGGTGTGGGTTTTCTACGTGCCTGTTGCGGCCAAGGAGAAACCCAATGTCTCTTAGAGACTCAAGCTGTTATTTTGGGGGTTGGTGGGATCTAGTTTGTTACATCCCTAAATCAGTTTCTCAAATGAAATTTGTAGACCAGTTTGCAACCTTTATTGAGATGATTTTTGCACATGGGACCCCATTAAGCTTCTACAGTGTGTGATGTAATTGTTCAATACAAACAAATATATAAATATTTGCCTATCTTTATGTGTGTGATCAACATTTAGTGCTTACAAGGGGCTGGGCATTGTCCTAAGTGTTTAAAGCGTGTTAAACCATTTAATACTCACATTAATTCTCTAAGGTTAGTACTTTTAGGATTACTGTTTTATGGATGAATAAACAGTGGCATAGACAGGTCAGTTACCTAGCGAAGGTCACAAGGCTGGTAAGTGTCATAGTGCCAGGGTTTGACCCAGTGCAATCTTTTACTGGCATCTGCTGTCCTTACCTCTATAGCTCTATATGGAAGAAGTAAACATTTTAAACTTGTAGTCCCAATGATGTTTTATTTTCTCACAGGAGTGACTGGGTGACATCCTATAAGGTCATGGTGAGCAATGACAGCCATACCTGGGTCACTGTTAAGAATGGATCTGGAGACATGGTGAGTCTCTTCTTCCCTGTAACCATGCCTCTGGTGCCTGGCTGTGCGGGCATCTGCACAGGCAGGCAGTATCTGCCCAGCCCCTTGGAGGCTTGCTGATTCTGTGTGAATTCAAGCCATCCGCGAGAGGCTGATGGACAGTGACCCCCTTTCCATGCCCTGAAGCTCAGCACTAGGAGGCCCACATTTAGGGCTAATGTAAACTCCAGCCTTTACTCCAGCCACAGAGCTGTGGGGACGTAGCCTCTTGCACAATTTGCAAGTCAGCCCTGGAAGATGTGCATGTGCATAGGGCATGCTGGGCCCTTGCAGTGACTCAGTTGTGATAGTTTCTTAATCTCTTTAAAGACCAGGATCTTTTAGCTCCATGATTAGCTCCAGCTCAGCCAGTTCTTATCCTGTCACTGTCTTTCTCAGATCCTCAGGTGTGTGTTCCCAGCACAGTATCCAGCATCTCACACAGCCTGACGCAGCCCCCCTTTTCAACCTTATTTCTCATTCCCCCCCACCCCATGTCCCAGTAACAGTGAGCCAGCCGCTCTGTTTCTCTGGGCTTCTCCAGCTATTGCTGTTCTTTTTCTAGAGAATCCGTCCCATCCCTACTGGTCTAGTTTTCCTTCAGTGACAGTTCAGATGGCCCTCCTCCCCAAGCTTTGCCTAGCCCTCTCCTTCTGAAATTCCAAAGCTCCATGACTGTCCCTTTCCTGTGACACTGATAGATCTCTCCTACCCTATGTAAGTATCCTCCTCCCCCACTAATGGGGGCTTCCCGAGGGCAGGGTCCAGGCCCGAGTCATTTGTCTTTCCCCTTTAGTGCCCAGCAGGCATTAGGTTTTCCTCAGTGAGGTCTTGTTGAATGAGTGAATTACTAACTCTTTTATCCCTTGACAGTCAAGCTCTAGAAGATTCTCCCTTTTCCCCTTGAGCACAAATAGATATTTGAAGGAAACAGTGAGAAGGAGATCCCTGTTCTCAACGAGCTGCCGGTCCCCATGGTGGCCCGCTACATCCGCATAAACCCGCAGTCCTGGTTCGACAACGGGAGCATCTGCATGAGGATGGAGATCCTTGGCTGCCCGTTGCCCGGTGAGTCTGGCCTCCTGTGCTTCCTGCAGGGCAGGAGCACAGG